TTCAATACTTCGAACATTCTTTTTACATCGTGTTTCACAAAATTAATCTAACAACGTAAAATAGTTGATTTCTAAAAGAAATGTTCTAACATTTCACATGTTATAAACTTTCTGTCTGTGAAAACTACACTGGTGCAATAAATACAAAAAGTCGAACAACAAATCGATCTTAATCATGCATTTATGTCGTATTTCTTCAAATGTGTTTAAAAAAGCTCAGTTTGAATAAACAGTACATACGCATTGAATTTCTCGTATTATTCAGAGAGAACTTGCTATAGTTGTCGGAATATTTATCAGCATAAACTCAATAGAAGAACTTAAATATCGCTTTGATTACATAGAAATAACTGATATAGGAAAAATTCATTCATGTATGCTTATATTTTATTTAACTTTTTTAACGTTGAAATGATGTTGAGCATTCTATTAAAGGCGTAGGTTTCCAAAACCAGAGTTTCTAAGTTCGCCAATTTCGAACTACTAACCGAGTAAAAAATTTTCATATTCATACAATTTTTCATCTGTCACATAGATACTATACAATTGAAAGAGATATGATTATACTCTTATACTTACAAAATCATTTTTGTTAAGCAAAATTTCTTTTTACTTTTGATACTACTAATAAGAAAACAACAATTCTACCGAAGAAACTGACCATATTATAGTTTGTTGTCTTTTCTTTCTTTATATTATCGTCTAGTGTCTACTAGGCATGAAATATAAAAGAAGGTACATTTTCTTCGTTATTTTTATATAAATATCATTACATTGAATACGCATCTCTCGCAAATGTCGCTCATTAACCAATCTTTTTTTAAATATGTTATCAACAAAATTCAGAATCCAACAAAGATGGAATTCATTAAATAGGTTTCTTTTATAAATTCTACACTATATTTATCGGATTACGGTCATGAGCATGACTAAGCACTTTACATCTTACATTTTTCAGTAGAAACAAAACTATTTCTGTAATGTCTGAATGATTTGAATTGAGCGAAACATTAGTTTCTAGCTACAACACAAAGGAAGCCAAAGAGACAAATAAAAATTTCACATAGATTGCATGAGAAGAGTATGCTTTAACTTAAGTTGGTCCACTCTTCGAGCTGCTTGAAAAGATCGGATAGTAGACTAACTACAGTTCCACTTACTTCCTCTAAAACTGGATACATGAAAGTTTCAAAAATTTCTATGGTTTCCTCCAAGTTTTCTATTGGAAACAAGATCAACATTTTGTAATATTCATATTCTTATATAGCTTATCGAGCCGTATGAAATTCTCTAGAAAACAATATTTCGTTTCAAAACATTATATAATATTTTATTTTTGTAAAAAATGTAAGATGTAAAATGTTTAGTGATGATCAATAGAACAACTACAGCTTTTCTTGATCTCCAATATATAGATATGTATTCATATAGATGATGTCAATGTACAAATAGGTGTGAACATTTTTTTTTTGACCATTGTTTAGATTCATGAAAAATACTTGAAATCAAGAAACATTCACAAAGTGAAGGTATCATGTAGTAATCCATAGCATCGAATATCTGTCTGCGTAAATATTCTTATTGAACTTATTTAAGATAAAGTTAAAAAAATTATATAATTCATATTTAAAAGATTGGATAGTTTCGTTGTAAATTTTATTGTCATTCAATCGTTCATCTATCATTAGAGATTTGAACAAGAACTTGATGATCATCATCTGAGTTTATTTTAAGTAATCATTAGAGGGTCTGAATATTGAGCTTCAACAACATTATAGATGATTCGACTCGTTGGTTATATTAAAATTACAATTACTCAATTTTGTTCTTACGATATAGCTATAGAAAGTTGTTTGTGCCAATGAAGTTATGTAAACATCTTTTAGACTTTTCCACATAAAGAATTAAAAGAAAAGTGGAAGTCTTTCACATTTGATAGAAATGATTTCTATAATTTACAAAGATTAGTTCATATTATTCACATAAGCATCTGCGCCTTATAATATTTTTCAAAAATTAGCATGTATAAATATCAATAATGCAAGCTACTGTGTAGTATGTACAATTATCAAAGAAGAAATCGTTGCTTGAGTATTAATATTACTTTTCATTATATTAAAATTGACTCTAAAGTTAGCGATGAGAAAAATTTTCTTCCATACAGTTATTAAAAATTTTGATTTTAGATGAATTTTGATTTTAATTAATGTAAAACAGATAATACTAAATTTCTCGAGAAGGAATAAGCATATTTCTGTATGTCAGTTGTGCGGAGAATTATATACATGTTTACAAGCAAATGAGATAGTATGTGCTGTAACTTAAGGACATTAGCCATATTCGGATCAAATCAAAAATCTTACCAGCAGAAAAATATGAACTGTTGATTATGTACAAGAACTGAGATTTTCGAATTCTAAAGTATTGACAGTGAATGTAATGTACCAAAAATTCAAAATTTCAGCGTCATTTATTTATTTTTCTTCTCATTATGATCAGATAGAGCTTGTTGATTTACATAAGACAAAGTATGTTTTACATATAGAAAACGAAACTTCATGAAAATCAGAATATCCACACTTGTTTGTCTTGATATGTGGGATTAATGATATAATAGATATTTTTCTATTATATGACTGAATGAGTTCTATTCGACCATGACGGATATAGAAAAAGTCTTTCTCAAATTTTTAATTATAGACACATTGCAAACAATAAAAAATAGTTTAAATTCGAAAAGCTCAGTCCATACATATCATCAATAGTTCATAATATAAATTTGTTGAATATAGCATTGTGTCATTCATCATTCGCTTTTCGTTTGACTATACTAACATCATTCAAAGATTGCTATCTATTTAATATAACCAGTCATGCATGTGTTATGACACCTACTCTATCGTCAGTTCATTTTTCTTTTTAATTGAAAAAAAAATAAGTAAATAAGATCAATGTACGCAACTGAGTCAAGAATATTCGTAGATGAATCAAATGAACAGAAGAATTTGATAAAATATATTCGATTTATTCTCGCTTGAATTCAGAGTTGCATGAAGTGTAATTTTATTTAAAATTTGAAATAATAGCTTCAAACAAAAAAAAAGAAGTTTTTGCTTTATGGAGACTCAATTATGAAACTTGCTTTTTTTTTTGTTTATTATTAATCATATTTTGATATCATTGATTGCATATTTTCATTATTTTTATCAGATATACTATGTTTGTTTTTTGATACTACAAATAATGACGTTTGTATTATATCTTGATGTCACGACTCGAAGCATTCACACATCTTGGTATATAAGCAACGATAGGGTCGTCCATCCATAAACATATCTATTAACATACAGGTGTTCTATTCTGACAAATTGTTTTTTGTTGTGCATCTCAATCAAACACTAATTGAAAATATTTATTTATATCAATGTAATTATTCGAGCTAGACTTTTTATCTTTTATAAATATAGTTTTGTTTGGGGATCTAACATTTTATCCAATTATGATGCGTCCAAAACGACGATCAAATCACCATCATGATAAACGATTTAGCTATAAATCTCGACATCGATATCCATATCCACCAGCATTTTATCCAGATATGAGTGTGAATCCTCTACGATCACGTAGACAAAGTATGTTAATAACAATAAAAGTAAGAATGCAACAAAAATTGTTCTTTGTTTTTTTTAGGCTCTAGTTCGTACTCAAGGCTTTACGAGTTCAAATTTCCATGCTGAAATGCTAAAATTACATAACTATTATCGTGCACGTCATTGTGCATCACCACTTGTTATAGATCAACGATTGAATCAAATAGCTCAATCATATGCTGAATATTTAGCAGCTACATCAACATTCGAACATAGTGGAAATAAAGTTGGGAATGAACCATTAGGAGAAAATCTATATATGCAATTGATATCTTATGGTCAAGCAAAAACGTCTGCCAAAGAAGCAGTTAAAAGTTGGTATGATGAAGTAGCAATGCATAATTTTCAGCGTCCAACATTTTCACCAAAAACCGTTCATTTCACACAATTAGTATGGAAATCATCGAGAAAATTGGGTGTTGGAATAGCTTAATCACCTAATGGACGTGAAGTTTATGTTGTAACAAATTATTATCCAGCTGGAAATATTATGGGTCCAGGACTTTTTGAAAAGAATGTTTTACCATCAAATTGCTAAGTGAATCGGGTTTTCTTTTTTCTTTTTTTTTTTAAATAAAAAGCATACACTGAGAAACACAAGAATTTTACAATATACATTATTATAAATTGCAAGAAGTATTAAGAAATAAAATGATTGACATAGAGTTTATACAAATGTTTGTATGTTTAAAATAGAAATTCGTTCAATAAACAACGAACTAAAAAAAAAATCGATTTTTTTTTAATGATAAAAGTGAAATATTGAAAGAAAATTAGATGATAATAAATCGAAGAAGATATAACACTGAATATCTTCAGCAGTGTATTGTAAATCAAGATAACAAATGTCAATTCGAAATGTATTTTTTTTCTTTTCTTTCGGAAATGCGTTCGTACAAGCTGTGTGTGACTAACATGTGAAAGACAAAATGTTGTTGAACTTGCATATGACAAGAAATTATTTTACTCTATCTATTTTCAGATACATTTCTTCATTATTGTTTTATTTAATCCTTCAAAAATGCAATAAGAAAATAGTTCATACATTAGGATACGATGTTATTGGTATGCGATTTGTGATCGTCTATCAAGCACGGAGAGCCAAGCTTTTACCACGATACTTCAACACTCTTTTTAGATCGTGTTTCATAAAATTAATTCAACGAAATAAATAGTCGTCTTCTAAGAGACTGCTCTTGCATCGGGCTTGATATCATATTTTTACGAATAGTACACTGATACAATGAATACAAAAAAAATCGAAGAATAAACCGATTCCTATCGTGAATTTATGTTTGATTTATCAAATGTGCTAAGAAAAGTTGAGATTCATTAAACAGTACATCTATATCAAAGTTCTCATAGCATTTAGATATACTTCGATGCAGTTATCAGAATATTTATCAGCATGAAAGTCATAGAAGAACCTGAACTTCGTTTTGGATACAGAAATAACTAATATAAGAGGTTCATTAATATATGCCTAGATTTTGACTCTTTTAATGTTGAAACAATACCAAGACAGAATGGCGATAATAGAGGAAATTTTTTTCCGATGATTTTTCTATCAAAGACGGACGTCATCGGAATCAGAGAGTTTCAAATTTCGCAAACTTCGAACTAATAACCGATTAAAGAACTCTCATGATTAAACAAGCTTTCATCTTTCGAATAGATGTTTTTTACAATTGAAAGACGCATGAGTATACTCTTCTTATGTTAGCAACAACATCTTTGTTAAGCGGTTTTTTTTTAAATGCTACTGAAAAGAAAAGAATAACTCTACTGAAGAACCCTGCCATGTTATTGTTTGCTGTCTTTTGTTTCTTCATATTGTCTTCTATATTGTCTACTAGACATGAGACATAAAAGGAGACACACTTTTGTCGTCATTTTCCTATAAACATCCTTACATTGCATGCTTATTTCTTAAATGTCATCATCAAACTCAGAATACAACAAAGATCAAATTTGTTGAATAGATTTCTCTTATAAATTCTATACCATATTTATCGAATTAGAATCATGTCTTAATATTAATAAAAGATGTAGTATTTGGTATTTGACTCAAATAATCAACACTATGTAGTTTCGTTGTTTTTATATTTGTCTAAAACTATTTACAAATTTTCATGTCATTTTAGTTTTTTTTTTACTTGAATAAATTCATCAAAAATACCTGAAATCAAGAAAAAAAGAACAAGTAAATATCACATTTGATTGATATTTCAAAGCTTGGTTACTTTCGGTAGAGATGTTAATTTGATTTATCAGTTTGCTTTTCTATTATGGATGTCTGCAAGATCATACTGATCATCATTTGAATTTACTGAAAGCAATCATTGAATGAATTGAATATTGATATTCAGTATCATTAGTGATCATTTGAGTTTTTGGTAATGGACTAACCTTTCATTTATATTTTTTTCTTACATTGTAGCTTTAGAAAGCTCTTTGTTTCATTGAAGTTATGTAAATGTAATTTACAATTTTCGAGATAAAAAATGTACGAGAAAAACGAAATTCTTCTTTAGTAAATCTATAGTCTTATTCAACATTTGTAATTATGTATGATTGTTATATTAATATTATACGATTCACTATTTTAAAGACTGCTGTATAAGATATGTCACTAGTAGTTCTTCACTTCATCGATGAAATTGATTGATCAATATTATTGAAAACTAAAGTAAGTAAAGGGTGTTCCATTTTATAACAGATAAATACTAGCACAGCAATTTTACATCATTAACAATGATATCTCGTTTTATAACTTGTTTCTTTCGTAATAAAATAAATCTTTTTCTTTTTTTAATACTTGTTTATTCAACACCATGAATTCGTTCATTAGGTATCATTGAGTCAATATGAAATTCATATTAAAGTATATCGAACGTTGCAGCAAAGCAAATTAAATTTAGTCATAATGTAACTAAATGACGTAGAAATTATTTTTGCAGTAATTGAACTCATTGGAGCAATTCTGTAACGATGACGGCTAAAATCATATGTCAAGTGTTTCTATTCATGAAACTATGGTTGACGAATTCATACTTTCTACATATAGCATTTTCAAAAAAAGTTAACTTTCATTTCATTATGATCATTTGTTCAATCTTTGGTACATTATAGATTTATTTTAATTCAAATTCGATTTATATAATGTAGTATCTTATTTACAGGTGGTCTCATAGAAACTAAGTAATCATTGATACAAGTAACTACTCAACGTATTAACATTGTTGGTATAATGTTCTGCATTTTAATAACTTTGAAGAATGTCATACAGTGCTCTATATGTTGAAAGCAGTGTCTATGTCATATTAGTTTGAGCATATTAGATTCAATAAAAATAAGTAAACGTTGATGAAATTGAATATTTCTCATAGATAAAAATAAAAACAAGCATTGACTCATAATTGATAGTTCGATTATTATTATTATCCATGAAGAAGTTAGTTATGAAACTATCAAATAGAGACATAGAATCTTTTTGTTTTGACTTTTCTTCATATCTAAAACAAAATAATATCAAAACAACCAATTATTTGATTTTAAACTTAGTTTTTATCAAATGAATATTCTTTTTTCAATTTGTGAATTAGATTGTTTAATTAATGAAAACATAATTTCATGTAATGATTTTTTGTAAAAACAAATGAATCAACAAAAAAGAAAAAAACCTAAAACGAACAAAACAAGCAAAATATTTACTTGTTATTAGTGTTGACAATTTTGTGGATAGTCATTTGTTCTTGAAAAAAAATAAGCACTAGGTTTCCCACATAATGCTGAACAAAAAAAAAGAAATCCATCAATAACATGTCATAATTGAAAATCAGTTCGTGAAACAAGAGCAGCATTTAGTACATTACTATGATGATGATTATGTAATAATGCTTTAGATTGATGAAATGTCTGAAAAAATTTATTTATCTACAATAATTTAAATTAGATTTACAAGAGCTAATTCTAATATTCTTTTCTCTTTTGAAGAATTGTTAATTATGAAACTACCTCAAGGACCTTTTTAAATGAATCTTTTCTATCATAATGTTTGTAAATTAGTAATATAAAAAATAAATCGTTTCAAATCATTTGCAGTTTAAAATGAGAGAAGACGAAATTCGCAACTTGCATACAAAAGAACTATGCAAACGTTTATCTCTATCGAAATGAAACCTTCATAAGAAGAAATTCCAATCTACTTTACTGAAGCAAAAATGTCTCACAAAAAAAAGGTATTGCATTGCGAACTTCTCTACTTATAGTTCTTCTGTACTTGTAATGAGGCATGGCAGCTTCAATCTATTGACGATGTATCATCCAATGTTTACATGAACAAACTTCAATGTTTCCTCAAAAATCATTTTCTAAGTCTACTAGACTGAATTCATCAATTTGATGGAGGAAGAAACGTATTTGAGGCTACCATAGTCTACGAAACATGAATCTATGGTAAAATTTTATTTTTCCAAACTTTCCGACTCCGTCACCTACGTTTATTACACACGAATTGATAGTCAATAAAATATGGACTAACCTTGAAACAAGGCATCACCAGACAGAAGGAAACAAAAATAAAATATTAATGGAAAATTTTCACAATAGCTAGAGGATATGTAAGTCTTTATCTGTGCTGGTGTTAGCCTACTCAGATCTCATAGCTTCGCCAGCTATAATATACAGAAGAAAATAAAGAAACATTATATATTTTCTTCTACGAAAATTACGTCCAATTTATTTATTCAAAAACCACAAGCAATATTTTCCTTGAATTGAGATTGAGCTTGAAATAAAAGTGCGCGCGTTGTTGCTCATGAACATTAGACATATTCTGATCAAATTAAAAATTGTGATGTACCAAACGTCGAAATTTCAGCAAGATTCTTGTTTTCTTTTCTTCATGGTTGGCTAGAGCTTGTTGAGTTACATAAAAAAAAAACCATGTTTTACTTATAGAAAAAGAAAATTTATAAGATTCATACTTTTCACACTCGTTTCGTTCGAAATGTAAAACTAATGGTGTTATGGACTTTCCTCTTTAAATGTTTTACTTTTGTATTGGAAATATAATTTCTATCACATGTAACATAATATGGTTTATTCAACCATGGTAAAAAAAGAAAAACCTTGGTCGTAATTTGAAATATCGGCACATTGTAATTAACCAAAATGCTTTAAATTCGAGCATGTCAGTTCGTGCACATCATTAGCCGCTCATGTTTTAAATTTCGTGGTTAGTCGATGAAAACTTTAGTTTACTGTGAATATATTCAATGTCTTGAGTTACAATAGATATTTTTCTATTGTTGGATTCATTTATTGTTTATTACATTGTATTATTTATCATTTGCATGTCTTTAGAATATTTTTTTCTTATTCAAGGACTCTTATCAATCTAATATGGCTAGTCATGCGTGTCCTACGACG